GGGAAAGCGAGGGAGCGGGACGCGGGTGGCGGCGGCGGGCCCGCTGGAAAGGAGGGAGCGCCGCGGGCGGGAGGAGGGGGCGCGGAGGAGGGAGGCCGGGAGGAAGGAGGGAGCGCGGCGGGCAGGCGGAGGGAGGGCTGATTAGCATGCAGCAGCGCTCGCGCGCCCGGCTCCATTGTTTTAACACCTCCCCTCTCCTCCGCGCCAATCTGTCACCGTTCAGCAGGCGAACGCTGCTGCCTCAAATGCTGCTCTTCTCAAATGAGACGGATAATTAGTTGCCCCGCACGAATGCCGCACTCTTCTCACCCCTGATTGCTATCACCTTCTTGCTCCTGGCAGTTTTGACACCTCGTAATCAGCCTGCTGCTTTTCTCTTTTCTTCCCGACTTCTGCTTCCTTCCCTCCCAGCCCCCCCCCGCGCTCCTTCCCAGTTGATTTATTTATTTATTTATTATTAGTATTATTTTAAATGCAATCCCGGTGCCTATTTGGACGAGTCGTCCGCCGAGTTCACCTTCCGCGTGCACAAGGGTGCCTATCTCCGTGTCTGCGGAAGCCGGGGCGCGCGCGCGCGCATGCGGGAGCCGGGAGCCGCGGGGAGCGGGCCGCGGGCAGCGGGCTGGCAGTGTGGCGGGAACCACCGCTTCCACGCGGAGACAGGATGTGCTCCCAAAGATCTTTTGGCGGGGGGAAGGGACGAGATGAGAAGAGGGACGGGCAGGGAAGAATGAGGGGGCCCTCGACGATGAAAGATCTCTTAGACATTCACGAACCGGGGAGTCTCGGAATCTGCTGTCAGGAGCGCGTCCCCCTCTGTCTCCTAACAAGCACTGACAGTCTAATTACTGTAGCTACACGCAGCTGTCGAGGCAGCAGCCCGGGAGAGGAGGCGCGGCGGGCCCCGCGCACCCGGCCGGCCCCGGCCCCGGCCCGACTGGGGACGGTGGGAAAAGGAAAGGGCGAGGCCCGGCCTCCCACCGCCCCGGAGCCAGCGGCCCCGCGCATTGTTTCCCGTTTATAAAGGCTGTACCTTGAAGGTTAAAAGATGTGAGGAAGAAAGGAGGGGACTTGGGGGGAGCGGGACGACAACCCTCTAAGCTTTCCACCCACCCTCCGCTACCTCCTCGAGCTCTCCCTCCCCCGGTGTTGGTAAAATAACCGCGCAACCCGGGGCTGAGGGGGCGGGGGAGCCGGGCTGGAGTGTAAGAAAGCAGATGTCCCCGCTGGCAGCAGCCTCAGCCTCCGGGGAAAGCTGCTCGGGGGAGGGGGCCCTCCCGAGGACATTCACCTCCCACTTCTCAGGCATCCCGCTCACAACTGCCTCGCCTCGGCGGGGGTGGTTTTTCCAGACTCAGCGTTTTGCGCGTGCAGCTTTTTTACCTGGGAGCTGTTCTTACCCGGCCACGCTCAGCAGATGCCGAGCGGCGGCCCGGCACGACTCAGTCCGAGAGACAGGGGTGGGGGCCCGGCCCGCGACCGCCTTCCAGACCAGTGCCGCACCTCTGCAAGGGCAGGACCCGCAGCCTCCACCCCTCCACGGCTCAGTAACCTCTGCCCCCCCCCCGAAGTTGGAGCGTTGGGGGCCCGTAGAACCCCAAAGAAAACACTGTTCCTAACTCTTACTAAAAATGGTAGAGGGGAAAGGATACACCGAGAAAGGGGTGGGGGCGCTCAGGGTCCACTTGGGAGTCACTTTCTGGGCCTGCCTGCAGGCTAGTAGATACAAGTCAACTGGGCGACGGGGGTCCTCCCAGAAAAAGAAAAGGTGAACAACTCCGTACCAGGAGATAGGGGTGTGTGGGGGAGGGGGAGAGGATGTTCTGGCGGGTACACACCGGTGTGTGTGTGTGTGTGTGTGTGTGTGTGTGTGGAGTGAGAGGGGAGGCTGGTGGGAGGAAGGGAGGGGGAAGGGAAGAGACTTGGATAATTGTCTAGGCATTTCCATTCAGCCCCAGTGGCAATGAAAAAGATGTACAAGCCTCAGAACCCTTCACAGTGAATACCTAATAATCGCTATGTCACCTTGGTGAGGAAGATGTCAGTGTGATGTGCTTGGCACCTTGAGAAGTGGAGGCACCGATCTCATTCTTCCACAAGTCAAGGCTCTTCGCTGCGGCACAAGGGTCTGCTAGATCTCCCCCATGCTAAACCCACCAATTCAAAATACTTGCTTCAGGAAAGCTGAAATTTCTGTTTGAGAGCTACAAATCAATGTTTACTTCATAAAATGAAAGCCATGCCTCAAACATTTTTAACCATCAGGAGAAAAGACAAAAACCCCAAAGGCAAGAGCCATAAGGAAGAAAAGCAAAAAGGAAGTCCCATTTTCAACAATTCTGTGGCATTGTGAATTTAGTGGCACTGTGAATTTGGTATCCTCTCAAGTGTCTTCCAGAGACCATCAATCAGGCTGCTAAGAATGAATAACAAATTTCACAACAGGAATGTGAATATTCCTAATCTAAATTAATAAATATGGATGGCCCTTACAAGGTTTTATAGTTGCTCCTATTATATTTAGTTTGCAATTAGATTTCGGTGTGATTTGCTAACTGTAGTAAGTGCCATTAGACTTGGTCATCCAGTGGATGAAAAAGACAAGTTTTATAAACTTCTCCCAAATGTGATTTACCTGTTCACTCAGGAACAAAGAATATTTAATGATCATAACACAAAATAAGTCTTTTAATGTTTAATTCATTTCATTGTGTAGCATGCACATTATTAAAACATACCTAGATTAAAAAAGTGTTAAATATCACTCGGCAACACATCTTCAATGGATGTTTATGTTGCTGCTATTTCCTATAAATTACAGATTTATTTTAAAAGAACATTACCTGTAGCATAAATAATCTACATTTTAAAATGAAGACCTTTAAATGAAATCTTATGAACATTTGATAACATCAAATTCAATAGATCTCATGAGAAATCCAAGCAATAGGTTTAGGTAGTTGAAACAACCATAAATTACAATTATATAATTCTTTAAAATACAAACATAATTTTGAAATATGGTAATACTGTAAACATGAAAAAAAGAATAATAGTTTTGTACAAAATGATCTTTAACAGTAAATTACAAAATAAGTTTAGAAAAAAATTACAATAGCACTGGCACTAGATCTTTCCATAAATCATTTTAAATTTAGTTTTACAGTCAAGTTTTTTTTTAATAGTATTGCAAACTTAAAATCATCACATAGAACTTGCTATATCTGTTATCAATGTGACTTAACTCTTCCCATTAAAGTGTGAATTAAGATGCCGGAGGAAATCCCCTCTGGATGTAATGGATGGTGGGAAAACTGCTTGACAGAATTCACATACTCGAGGTATATGGAATTCTGAGAATGAGTCACTTAGTACCTCTAAGTCACTGTCTTGGTTAGAAAAGGGCTTCCAAAGGGGCTGCAGAAAAACAAAAACATCTACTGTTACTTGCATTTAAAATTAACTTGCATTGAATTTCAAATCAAAATAGTTGAAAGTTATACATGCCCTGATATACATGAAATCCCAAATATGTAAACACATTACTTTTCCATAGTTATTAGCAAGGGGGCATGATTCAATTCATCATCTTTTTTTAAAATAATAGGCACATTATTTTACTGAAATCACTTTCATTGAAATCGCTTGTAACTAAGTTTACAAATTTACAGCTAAACTAAAGCTTCAGCACCAGCTATTTTTAATAAACAATTATCTCATCAGAAATACTCAATATTCAATAGTCAATGTTTTAGACATTAAAATAAATCTTATCTTTTCTATTTTAAAAACCTTAAACTATTGGGCTTTTATTGATACATATTACACTAGATATGTGTTCATGCATCTTAAAAGCAGTTTTAAATTTTACTACCATTTAATAACAAATACAAATAAACACATCTAAAAAGAAATCTTTTAAACTAAACAAATTCTATTGTTCAGTCTTTTTTTTAAACTCTAATATTTAGTTATTCGACAAAAGCTAACATCAGATTTTATTCTTCCCACTTGTTCCATTCTGCTTGTCGTGTAATACAACAGTTTGCCTTACTTTCTTATGGCTAAGTGAAACCTTAGTCAATAGCTGCCCAGTTAAAGTACTAGGGAAAAACCTTATTTGAATAGAACTACTTCCATTATAGCCACCAGCACACACACCTTTTAAAAGGAGAAAATACAATGTTTACTTTGGTTGGCAGGTACTTAATAAATGGTGTTGACTGGGAAATATTTCTCGGAACTGCATAGATCAAAAACTAAAATTTTTCTTAATCTGGTACAGGTAAATTATCCTGATATAGGGTAAATTCTGGTACTTTGAGGAGAAGCCAATTTAAAGAGACTCCTTCCTTTATGCTCCTATTACTAATACGGTTTTAATGAAACATGCCTAGTCCTGCAGCTGACAATTCTCATCCTCTATTTTAGTTTTCCAATTAGTAATAAAAACATATATGAAACATTTGAGTTTCTGGACATTAATGTCTTCTTATAAATATTTTACAGGACATATGTGTTCAACTGGTTTATGTAAAAAATCTGTCTAGATAGCAAAATGCACTTAAATATCAAGATAAGAGCTTATAATACAGATTCAGGTCTTTTCATGGGAAAAGAAATCTTACCATAAAAAATCATAATATTTAAAACAATGTAAAATTTTGGGCCTCAAGCCTTTTTATTTCTGTTTAGAAAAATCTTCCATGATGAAAGCAAAGCAAGTATAAATGTGAGTATATAAACAAAAAGTAGATTAGTTAAGTAAATTTAAATAAATACTACTTTCAGTTTAAACAAAAAGTGCAAACTACTCTAATGGAAAATTAATATGGCCACAGATAGAAGATTATTACTTTAAAGGTAATTTTTATTAAGTCCTACACAAAATAGCAAGAAATTAATTTAGAAGCAATTTAGCTTCTAAATGCGATAAGCATTTAGAAGGCAATTTACCTTTAAAGTTCTCTTTCAGGAATCGATCTATCTATTTAGATTTGACCTCTTCATAAAAGGTAGTGGGGGGCTAGGGTGGGGTGGGGAGACATTGCTGACTCAGCAAAAGTAAAAAAAAAGATAAAAGCGCATAGAACAAAAATATGCCAATACATTGCTAAGAAAACCAGGTGTACAAACAAAATAGGTGTTTAACAGTAATGATTAACATAAAGTAAAAACTTGAAATATGCAACCAAAATTTCATTTCTCGTACTATGAACCCTCATAATTTTTATATGCTTTATATGAGCTTTATGAATACTAATAAAATGGAAGACGTTTAGGGGAAAAATCTATTTGGGAAATATTTTTGCAACCCTAAACTGTAACATGACCTTTAAATCAAACTAATTTATTTGGCTTTTCTGCCAAAATATCAATTATCTAACCTTATGCCCCATGTCTTATGACAGCTCAACACCAATTCTCTTGCATTTTTTTAAGCTGAATACTTTTCTATCAAGTTGTAATCACATACCAGCTGTTTCCCTTGCTGCAGTATAGAAAGCAAATGTACAATGCAGGGTGCCATCTACTGAAACATGAATGCACAGACTAACTAGTAAAAGAACAAGGAAGAGATAATGGAAAGTAGGCTTTGGAACTTACATAGTACACAGATTTGTAGGATTCTATTTGCAATAAAGGAAATTATTTGTTTCATTTAGTAGCAACTATAACTCCTATTACAATATGAAATAAAGTAGAACATAAGTGAGTTTATAACGAAAGCTGTTAGCCATCCTTGTTTTACCTACAAACTGTACTAATGCTTAGCTACTACCTTCTTTGCAGGCTGGTTAAAAAAAAAAGTCTATAACCTATAGTAGTACTTAAGACCAAAGGAGGTTAATCAAGCTTTTCTTAAAAAGTAATTCTCTCAAAAACAATCAAACAAATGTTTGCAAATTACATAGATAGCCACACCAATTTTTATTCTGTTTAACAACTATATATTTCACTTGCCTTCAGGCATTAAACTTTTTTTTTTTAACAAAAAGAATTACTTTGTGACACAACCTTAGTCTGAAAGAGAGAAAGGATAAGTAATGCTCAAACCTCAGAGAGATTATATTTTGTTAAAAAATACATCAGGCTGAATGTTCAGCACCAGATTAGCAATCAAAACCAAAATGAAATGATACTGATCCTCATAATATATAACTAAATATCTGATAGTTGAGAGGTAATTTACTCTGATAAGTAGAATATCTGATGTAACTGCTTACTTATGAAAAAATTTTGCATTCTTAAGAGTATACTTCTTAGTCAAAATTTGTTTTACATTATATAATTTATGAAATTTAATAAATCCTTTTATAACACTGATGCTGGAAAAACAAGGCTTTGAGTGAGGTACTAAGAAAATTACACTGTGAGATATGGGTAAGGCTTACATACATTTAAAATCTGTTACAAACTTTTTAATAGAGCTTTCTCCTATTCATCTTTTTAAAATCTACATCCTTTAAAAAAATAGATTCTGCATGTTTAACTGTTAACTTTGGCTAGGCAGTCATTTCTAAAGGATATTCCATACCCTAAGAGAGATTTATATCTGTGCAGTATGGCAAAATGTGTGTTCACACATAATAAAGTATTTGTTAATGCAAATCAGTTACCTGCTGTGGTCCTCGGATAGCTTTTCCTGGGGAATCCAGTGAGGGAAAAGGTGCATCAATTGGGTCCTGAAGTGGGAATGTATTTACATACAATGCATTATGGTCTCCAGATGGCAAACACAAAGCTCCATCCACAATTGTCCGGATATCAGTATTTGCAAGATTTGAGCGTTTTGTTTTGTCAGTTGTCTTAAGGTTTTGTATAGCTGTAGCTATGGGAGCGAGTCCCTGAATTTCAAATGAAGTTTCTTCTCTTTTAACAAAGTTTCCTGGGTTGTCTCTGAGCTCCACATTAAATTTGTCCTGGCATAGAGTCTCAGATATGGCAGGACCAAGGATGCTGGGTCTCCCTGGAGTGCTATGTAAGAAAGTAGAGTCACTGTCCATAGGTGGAAACTTGACATTGAATTTCGAAAGTGATTCAAAAGAAATATCTTCCTCATCTCGGCCAGGTCCTCTTGCTGTGACAGATGTGATACACACTGCGCCCCTATTTATATCATCTTTAGCCTGAGGCTTGAACAGCACTTCTTGTTTATCTGGTCTATCTGTACACTGTATAGGCACAGAGCACTGTGTTTCTGCAAGAAAAAACACAAAATAAAAATAGTTACATTCAAATTATTCTTAAAAAGCTGCTCAATCAGCTCTGGAGGGGTAATATTTTTCTACTGGGTTTCACAGAAACTGAAGACAATGAATTTTTGTATTTGCTACTATCTTACATAGCAATATAAGCCATCTCCAGCAGCAAACTGGGAACACAGCTTATTAGTCACAACTTAGTCACAACTGCTTTTGTCTTTCCCTAGGTCTTCTACTATAAACTTTTTTTTTTTTGCCTATTGTTCATAGTTATATAGTACTACACTTAAAATAAAAACTTGCTTGTGATGTGACATTTCTGTCAGTAACAGAAGCTGCAAAAATAAGGCTGATTAGACAAATTGTTAAAAGAGAAACATCATATATAATAAAATCATATATGTATGTACTGCCAATGTATACATATATACATACACACACATATAACTCTGATTTATTATTTATGATGTGAATTCGGTGGTTTATCTCCCCTCCCCATAAGTGTATCACTAGGTTTAGCCATTATCTAAAAATCCTGTATGAGGGAATAGTGATAAAGTTGGGAAGAAAGAAGATAGTGGAGCAAAGAAGGTTAAAACATTAGGATGCATGTTAAGAAACCTCTGCATATGAATACATGATTTTCGCGTAAGTAAAGGCTTGTATAGATGGCAGGTTCCAGGACCTCTATAGTTCATTAACTTAGGCAACAAATTCAGCTCTTGGGGACATAGTAAAAACCAGAAAGTAACTAAGAACTTGTGAGGATTAGAGCTACAAGGTCTATGGATATATTAATTTTTATTACTATTCTCATTTTGGATTTGCTCTAACAAGCTGATGTTTCCTGAACCCATAGCTACTTTGAAACAGCAAATTAGAAGGGGGATTTGAGTTGTTAAAGGCAGATATGAAATCAGTAAAAGCTGAAAACATGTAAGAGGTTAAAAAAATGCAGCACTATAGTCTAATGTAGGGCTAACAAGAGTTGTATTTCTCAACATAAAAGCAAAACCAAAATAACCCTCCCCATGACAAAAACTCTGTCCATACTGATCTTGAGATACAGAAAAAGCTAAATTATGTTCTACAATGTCACCATAAAGGTAGTAATGTTGGTAAGATATTTTAAATCAATGAATAGAAAAATATTTTAAAATATTTAAAAAAGATTGTCAGCAATGAAGAAGATGTATATTCCCACACAGAAACTTTACCAATGATGTAGGTTCAAGTAGACAAGACAAATAATGTTGCAATGTTGGTGTCTCTGTTAATAGGAACCTAACCAATGACAGCACTTTTATAGTCTTTTTTCTTTGTAGTTTTGATACTTCTCTATCTTTTGCCATAGCACAATCTAATATAAGATGTCTTCTGTTCAGGTATGTGGCTCAATGCCAGTAACTTCTTAGTTCATCCTGTTATCTATCAACTGGCCCTCCACCCATCCTCTGTCTCTGTCTCTGTCCCCCTCTCTCTTTGAATCTCTGTCTCTGCCTCTGTCTCTCTCCATATTATTCAGCCCAGTATGAACTTGAATTCTTTGTCCTCCTGCTTCAGTTGTGCTGGAATTACAGGTATGTACCACCATTCTCAGCTCTTTGCCTTTACTTGTCCTTCCTATCTTGGCTTACACATTACTTTCTCTGGATGACTTTCACATAGTGCCCCAAAGACTAAGCATTCTTTTATTTCCAAGTTTACTTCTCTCTGTCATTCAAGTAAGTTTCTTTTATGTTCAAAATGATGTTCTGTTCCTCATTTATCCATGTATTCTGCCCAGTGCCTGACTCATAGGTTTCCTTAATAAATTAATTCTGAATGAAAGTATATTTTTTTCTTCAAAGTCAAGATAACTTATATTTACTAGATAATCTGTCTGTGATTAGGGATGGTACAGTAATTGAAACCAAGCTCAATTGTTTATCTGGATTTCATTGACCTTTGAAGTACTTAAAATCCGGTAATTGAAGTAGCCATTGTTCCCAATGGAAGACTTGAGGGTGGCAAGAAATTCTAAGAAATGTTAATTAAATTCTGTAACAATGGGGAAGGAGGAAAGACTTAACAAATGATCTTTAAGAGAACAGGGAATCTGCTGCTGCTTTGGAAATGACTATTAATAATAGTACTTCCATGTGCCAATACAATTGCTACATGAGTTTTAATTCATCTAAAACTTAGACTAATTTCAATGTTGGCACTATTACTGTCCCAAATTTATGTGTGAAGAAATTGGGCTATGGAGAGGTTAAATCCAAGGCTACATAGCTACTGAGTGGTGGATCTGGCACTAGAACCCAGGCAGCCTAACTCTAGAATCTGTGCTCAGAACCATCGTGCTAAATTGAACATGTTGGTTTCTATATATAGAGAGAGGAGTCCTCAGACAGAATTGTGCTTAGAATTACTTTCCTAACAGTTGACCTATCCTTCTTGCAAAGAAAACACAGAGACACCAAACAGCTGTAAGAGAGAAGGTATTTTCTTTTAGCAGAGCTAGCTGATATACAACCTCAATTATATTAAAATAATTTGAGTTAATCTGCCTGTGTGGTAAGAGTAATATCTATTAAAAGAAGATTTAAACCTAAGATTCCTATAGCAATTGAAATCTAAGCTTAGAAACTTAAAATGCAAACACAGTACATGAAAATACTTGTTATTCTGACACCACACTGAGAAACAATCAGGTGAGTAAATAGCTTTTCTATTTTGTCTGCTTCAAGAATACTTATTTTTGTAAGGAAAACAAGTAAAATGAGAAGCATTCTTAGATTCCCAAATTTTATGTATAGGCTGTCTATTTAGACTACTTCTTAGCCTAATTATTATGAATAATGACAAAGGAAGAAGACCTGATGGTTATTTCTAACCTCTAGTCCTATATTCTCCTCTCGTAACAGCCAAGGAAATAGCACCCTCCTTTTGAACATAATAGTACTTTTCCCCTGAAGATTTTGCTTATTAACCATACATTTCTGTCTTATCCTTTTTCAAGGCTATTGTCATATATAATAAAGCCATAAAAGGACAATATAACACATATTATATAAATCTCATTTAAAGTAGTTTCTTTGTGTTTTATTCAAAGTAGCATACATACTTAGAAACCTTGCTTACATATATTTTCCCAAAATATATAATTTTTTTCTTTTCTCTTTTTGATCTACTATTGTGAAAGCATACTATTTGATTTTTTTTTTGTTTGTTTGGAACAAGAAAAACTTTACTGGAGTCTGTAGCATAGCAGATCTAAAACATTTCAAGAATTTTATTTATCATTTTTGATGCAGTATCAGAATACTGTTAGGAATCAGTTTAACTAGGACAGAAACAAGTTAAATATTCAGTGTTATAGTTGACAGATACATAGTCAACTTTAGACCTGTGCAATTTAAAAGTGGTCAATGTATTAAGCCATTGATAATGGGGTATGTTCTCTGGGGTAACAGAATAATATCACTATTAGAATATTTTGATAAGATGTTGATGCTTTAAAAAATATGCTTATGAAGTCTAGGTCTACATATCTGTAGCTAGCATATTTTGTATAAAAATATTTCTTTCAGACATAAAGAGCATCTATAGTCTGCACAAAAAGTCAATGAAAATGGCAAAAATTAACATGGAGAAATTAAGAGCTCTTCTTTGAAGAAGTAATGGAATTGAAATGAGAAAAATTATGTCCATCTACAAAGATTACTTTGTTTCTCCCTCATCACAACCTACAACTTTTTGGATAAATATGTTACGAGTTGCAAAAGACACCTTATATGATAAGAGGATTTTTAAGTAGCTAAGACTTAAGAACTGTAAAAGTGATCTTTAATTAAAGCGCTAGTCAGAACTGCTGTAGAACCTCTCAGAGAGAAAACTGCAAATCACCTCACTTAGAAATTGTCTAAGTATATCTCAAATCAAAAGAGAAATGGAGAATTTATCATTTTTAAATGACCAGTGTATTTTCATTTTGTTTACAGGAGATTGTTTGGCTGACAAGACACAGTCCCTGGTATTTTGCTGTTAATGTTTACTGAAGCGACACTAGGAAGTCAGTGTGAAATTTTAGGGGAAGGTGAACGTTTAAAAAAAAAGTATCACACAGTTTATGCCAAACAGACATCCCTCAGTTGTATTTTATACTAAATTTGTATTTGTTCCTCCAACAGAAGTGGTACTCAGGAAATATGCATGCCACATTTTTTTTTGAACCAAATTATCAGAAAATAGTGCTCAATGAAATTTTAGACAGAAGTTAAACATGAACATGATGCAATGTATCTACTTAGCTCTTGTAGGTGCTTCTAGGTCACTTACTAATGTACAAGTGGATGTTTAATACAGCCCCAAATAACAACTGAGAATAGTGAGAAAGATGTAGATTCTTACATTAACATTTAGAAAATGTTTTCATACTGCAAACAAAGTCAATTTCAACCAATAACATTAAAATTACTGTAAACAAAATCAAGTCTTACCAGTTGCAGTGTCTGGTATATCAAGTTTGCTTAAGTGATCTTTTTGTGCTTTTGCTAGCATGCATATTCTCTGAAATTCTTCTTTCAGATCCCAGAAAGACTTCTCTATATTGTCCCTAAAAACAAGTATTTAAAATGTAATTCTATACTTTTAAACAATTTTGATTATAGTTTATGTTTCAGCATTTTTGTACCCCTAATTATTGAAAAGTTGAAGTTTAAATATTAATTTGAAATTTAATGGTCCCCCAAACAAGTTTAATATTTGAAGACCTAGGCATGAAATGTTGAAAGTTCTCATACATAAATATAGTACGGATTAGTACATCTATTTATCTACACATCACACTGGTGTAGGCTGCCATTTCTCAAAAACTCCAGTGCACTGATTTTGTTAAATGCTGATAAACATCATAAACAGAATATTAAATACTCCTCACTTTAGCAAGGACATGAAGACTTAACCATGTAAAACAATACAGCTATAATACACTGTCTATTGTAATAGTAGGGACTTAGAGACAGCTTTTAGATTCGGCTCTGCTACAAACTATATGACTTATTTAGGTCATTTTTACATTAAAGCGCTTAGAGTTGGAGGCAACAGTGCTTGATCAGAAATGTACTCATTATCTTGCCCATGTAATTGTAACCCCTCTGTACGGTATTTTCACAATTAAAAAAAATGGCAAAAAAAAGAGCTCAGAGTCATTCTGTTCCAGTTCTACAAAAGTCAGATAAAAAATTTTAAGTTGTTAAAAACTTATATAAAATTTAAAATATTATATATTTCAATATTTATAAATTTTGAGGTGGGAAAAAAGGACATAGTACCTTTCATGGAATAATGGAGAGCCAAGACTCTTTAATGAAGTCTCTTTTTTAGAAGAAGGAAGTTCTTGTCCTCTTACCTTAAACAAACAGAAAAATGCTTATACTTACATTGTTTCTAAACTCAAGGCTTGGTTAACAGAAAAAAAATTCAAAATTTATTTTCTCTGCTGAAAAAATTACTCAATTTACACACATACATGCCCACAATATAAAATAATTTTTGTTTAAATGAAAGTAGAAAGTATTAAGTATTTTTTGGAAAAATTTAGTAGCTGTAATTAAAGGAATTCCGCACTCTCAATTTTGGATCAAAACTGATAACTCAAATAATCATAATCATAGGGAAAATCAGTGTATTTATGTCTTTTGCTATTCATTAATAATGGCCTATATGGTACATTTAAATCAATGTCTTCTATTATAGATTCTTTTTTGGGGTAACTGAGCTCTAAAAGAGGAAGAAAGCAAGCAAATTATAATTCCTTATTATTTAACAAGCATTTCCCCCCCTTGCTGATCCTGTAGCTTGAACTCAGGGCCTGGGTGCTGTCCTTAAGCTTTTCTGCTGAAAATTAGTGCTCTATCACTTAAGCCATAACTCCATTTTTGGTGTGTGTGTGTGGGGAGGGTTAGATGGAGATGAGTCTCACAGACTTTGGTGTATGTTTGTGTGTGTGGGGGGATTGGTTAGATGGAGATGTGTCTCACAGACTTTCCTGCCCAGGCTGGCTTGGAACTGTGATACTGAAATCTCAGCTTCCTGAGTAGCTAGGATTACAGGCGTGAACCACTGGTACCTGCTTTAACAAGCATTTTAAAGATTTATAAAGATAATGCAATTAGATATTTAGGCTGCTACAACACAAGTTCTTGCCTTTCACTCCCACCTTGTGGCTTACACTGGTATTACACGTAACATTTAAAAATCAGTATTAAAGAATATGTAATGATTTGTTCTACAGTTCAGATTAAAAAAATCTTTAATCATATACATAAAACTTTGTGTATTTTCACAAACTAAAAAATGACAAAGTCTGGATCTGAAGGAGTCCTAATATCATATAAATAATAAATCAACCCAAACCATAAAAATCATACATGGAAATCCAATCCAGAAGACATTTGTTTTTAGTGACTTTTACATGTTATTTCAATTAAGGTCACTGATATCTATTAGCACAATGAAGTTTTTATTTAATTGTTCCCAATCTCTCTTTAACTTTTCCTTCAAATTTTTTTAAACATTTTTAGCTTTCTTGTTCTTTAAACAAATTCTTGATTTCAGTTTGTTTTGCTCAAAATTAATATATTATTTAAATTTAGTTTGTTGCTCAAATTTACTTTTTCTAAATAAATACTATTAGCATATCGAGTATTATTTTTGTAGCACCTTAGAATTAGTAAAATAAAATTCTGGCAATTCAAACTATTTGTGATTTTATATATTATACTGTTGGGAGTGTGGCAAATTAAAGATTTTTTTTAATGCATGCTGTTTATCTGAAAAACATTTAGGCCATGTCTTCTGCATTAAACTTGCTTTACTGAGCTTAATAAAGCAATCACATTAGAAAACGTTTTCACATTCACAGTTTGTTTTTAAACGTGGTAGACAAGGTTTTTCTTTGGTGTTATGTGCAATTAGACACTCAATGGATTTCAGCGTAGAAGAGGAAGAAAGGTAGCATTTTAAAGTCAGCCAACCATTTTAGGGCACTAAAGCAAAACTTTTAAGAATATTTTATTTTAAATCAGGGTATCAGTGGTTCACACCTATAACTAGCTACTCAGGAGGCTGAGATTCAGAGGATCATGCTCAGCAGTAAGAGTGGTAAAGTGAGGAAGCAAGCTAAGCAAGCTAAGGTCCTGAATTAAATAAAATCCTAGTACCACAAAACAAAAAAGTATTATATTAAATGTGTATAAATAAAAATTAAAGAGGTTTAATAAAGAATAAAAACATTTGGAGATGCCAAGCACTAGTGGCTCACACCTGTAATCCTAGCTACTATTCAGAAGGCTGAGATTTGAGGATTGTGGTTCAAAGCCAGCCAGGAAAGTCCATGAGACTCTTATTTCCACTGAAGCACAGAAAAAGCTGGAAATGGTGCCACCATGGCTCAAGTGGTAGAGAACTAGTCTTGAGCAAAAGGAACTCAGGGACAATGCCCAGGCCCAGAGTTCAAGTCTCAAAACTGGCAAAAGACAAACAAACAAAAACCAAAACCTTCAGGGTTGAGGATTTAGCCCAGTGGAAGATCACTTGCCTGGCCAGTGCAAGGCCTTTAGTTTGGTCCTCAGCTCTGCAAATGTACATAAATAACTACATTTGATAGTTTAAATAAATTGGAATAAGTGATTTATTATATGGAATGACTTCCTTTTACTAAAGCCTCAATATATTGTTTTATTAGGAGCTAGAAAACAAAGACGTGCTCTATAATTTTAGTCTAAAACTGAAGACATTACAGGAAGTAATAAAGATAGTACACTAGTTTCCAAAGTCCTGACTGTGACCTAAGTTAGGATGTTTACTTCTGAGGTTAAATGAACCATTAAAACTAATGGAGATGAGAAAAATCAAAAAACAAGGCAAGAAAATAATGGTTTTTGTTTGCCTTTATAAGTAAATGGTATCAAATTCTCTGTGGTACTTGGATTTGATAAACTAATGTGGCTGAATTTGTTGGGAAAAGATTTCTTAGGTGTAGTTGCAGCAGGCTAAAGGAAGACTTACTGATTAAGAAATATCTGTTAAATGAGATGTAGAAGACACTATGTTGAAAATGAATTTTACAACTTTGGAGGGGGGGGAGTTAGGGAGATGGGGAGGAAAGGGACGGTAGGAAAAAAGCAAAGGAGGAGGTAACAATACTCTATAGGAAATGTACTCATTACCTTACTCATGTAACTGTAACCCCCCTGTACAGTATTTTTTACAATAAAAATATATATGGAAAAAAAGGAAATGTCTGTTAAGTGTCTAAAGATATAATCAGCTTCTTTGAGGATAAAGAATACAGTTCTTACTATGATTTTTTTGTTCTATCATTAAAGAATTATTGATTATATCAAGCAATATACTGCACCTTCTATTATTTATACCAAATAGATTCGTTATGATATTTCAAATGAAAACTTTTTTTTAAAGCCCAGGCTAGACTCAAGCTCTTCCTCCCTCAACCTCCTCAATGCTAGTGTGTAATGCTAGTGTGTAATGCCACCTCTGGTCCTCAACTGAGTATGTTTGGGGTCTCAGCATTCAGCAAATTTACAAACACTTTAAACAAGTTACTGGGGGAAAAAACTTAAGCAGTTTTCTGGCAAACATTTTGAAGTAGAATTTGTTTAGAATGGGTACAGCACATTAATGTTATTTTTCCATCGTACTGGTCTCAGCTTTCTGAAAACAGTAATTTATTTTTAAAGGATTTAGGATTAAGATAACCTTGGGCAGATACTTTCCTTTCAATGTGTCCCCCCCTTCCCTCCCCGGTCCCCTGTCTATCCACAAGGTCTACATAGCCCAGCCTGACTGGAATTCTAGATTCTCCTATTACAGTTCCCAAGTGCTAGGACTGTCAGGCATGAACAACAGAACCTCAATTTTAATGAGGTGTTACACAGGTTGTTGAGTATCCAGAGAATAAGTAAACATTAGGAAAGATAAGACATACATTTTTATTTCTATTCTTTATTAGCCAAGTGGAGAAGATAAAATGATTTTAATTGCAAACAAGAAGACAAAGGAATTTGGACACTAGGAAATTTGGAAGCATTAATTTAACAAATAAGTTTCTTTTTGAGATACTAAAACTTAAAATATTTAACATTTCCAGTACTATTTGGAAATGTGGAACTTAGTGGAATGAATACTAAAATAAGACTTTTATGTGCCATATATACTTTTTTTTAATTTAATTTAATTTCATTTGTGAACATACTGTACAGAGGGGTTACAATTGCATGGGCAGGATAATGCGTACATTTCTTACCAAGCATTGCAGCCTCCTCCTTTGTTTACCCTTCCCATCCCTACCATATATACTTTTAACATGATGCTAGATAAGTCCTTCAACTAAATCTATTAAGATAAACCCAGGTTAAACAGTTGGAAAATATTATGAAATGTTTCCTTAAGTTTCCTTTTGTATCAATTGGGAGAATATGTATTTAGTATATATGAATTAATTAGATGGGTATTATATAAAATATGTATATTTAGGCCCACTTGAACACACAATAATATTTAAAAAGGAGAAAAAAAGAAAAAAGAACTACTATTTCATTAATTCAAAACCAGATTACCTTTCATATAAAGATAATGAGATATGGCTGTGTTATATCACTTGTCTAGCAGGCACTTTCTTGAGTTCAATCACTAGCATCACAAAGAGAAAAAACGAAAATAGTATTTTTGAGTTGCCTTTCAGGTTGTTAGATAGCAACCTCTAAATAAAGAAATTAAAGCAGGAAACGTGTCATTAAATTAGAACCTCCTATCATGGACACAAGTGTTGCAAACGAAAAGCTCCCAGATCTCAGGAGGTAAGGCGGAAGGGTCCTGTGTTTCAGATCAGCCTAGGCTATATATCAAGATGCTCTCTCAAATGAATAAAACTGACAAATGGATCAAAAAAATGTGATGTGCGCGTGCATGCACACACACACACACACACACACACACACACACAGAATTTTATTCACTCATCCAGAAGAAATACTTCATCATTTGCAGGGAAATGAAAAAACTTGGAAAAATATTGTATGAAGTATTCCAGGTTTAGAGAAACAAAGAACACATGTTTTTAGACATAAAATCTAACGCATACACGGCTATACACATATATACAAAGTCAAACTGACCAAAGGATGTGTCCTCTTTGAACAATTTACAGGCAGTTCAACAAAATGAATACCAGGAAGCTTTGCTGATGAGGATTTGTGGGGACAAATAGAAAAGGTTTGGATAAACAAAAACAGGAATAGTGGGCAACTATAGCCATAATACTAACATGCATACCTGAAAATTAAGAAACTTGAGGAGACAGGTGGGGATGGGATAGAGGGATGTGGA